TCTCGCCAAGTTGCCCATGCGGGTCTCGAACCCACGGGCTCAGGCAATCCACTCACCTCAGCCTCCCAAAGTGCTGGGATTATAGGCTGAGCCACCGAGCCCGGCTCTCTTTTTTCTTAATGTTCATCATACTTGTGAATTAAATATGGTGGTTTGTATGGGAACAGTACCCACTATTACTCTGAAATCTATACACATTTAGCAATTATAAAAACAAGGTTGATAATTTAAGCTTTCCTGGAAAAAAGAAGAAAAAAGAAATGGTAGGTGATTTATTTATTTATTGAGTTGGAGTCTCACTCTGTCACCCACACAGGAGTGCAGTGGTCGCTCCCGGCCACTGCAGCCTCGACCTGCTGGGCTCTGGCGATCCTTCCGCCTCAGCCTTCCAAATAGCTGGAACTATAGGTGCACGCTACCACGCCCGGCTAATTTATTTTATTTTATTTTATTTTATTGTAGAGATGAGGTCTTGCCAAGTTCCCCAGGCAGGTCTCGAACCCGTGGGCTCAGGCAATCCACTCATCTCAGCCTCCCAAAGTGCTGGGATTACTGGCTGAGCCACCGAGCCTGGCTGGTAGGTGATTTATTTACTCCTGTAGATGAACCTGCTATATGACTGCTTGTCATCCATGTTTCCTCATCTGACAAGATGCATCTCTCAGTAGATGACAGAATGATAAAGATCCCAGAGAACAGATGACTTGGCCTAGCCTAAGTTCCATCCTTCATAATAGTCAGGAGGTGCTGCCTTGGGAGCACCTGGGAGGCTTTCCATGGTGTATAAGATATTAGTTGCAGTGTCCTTATTAATTTTAGGTGCAGATAATGCTATTTTATCCTTTTCATCTAAATTAAATTAGAAACGTAAGACATTTTATTTCTATGTGATTAGACTCTTGGTGGCTATATTCCTATATCCAGTATCCATCATCCAAACTCATGTGCTTGGGAAGGTGCTATAGATTACAGATAAATATGTAACAGTTCTTTTAGCTGAATTTTACTGGACTAGACATTTAATTGGAGGTCTTGCTACTGACCAGGTTTGTTCGGCCCACACACAGCAAGCCAATCATTGAGATGAGATTTTGCAAAAGAGAAAGTTTATTCACAAGGTTGTTAAGCAAGGAGCTGGGAGAACAGGTCTCATATCTCTCTTTGAAAATACGGCTTGAGGGCATTTGTTTTTATTTGTTTATTTTTTGTTTTTTTGAGTTGGAGTCTCTCTCTCGTCGCCCAGACTGGAGTGCAGTGGCACGCTCCCGGCCACCACAGCCTCGACCTGCTGGGCTCCGGCCATCCTTCTGCCTCAGCTTTCCAAGTAGCTGGAACTACAGGCGCATGCTACTATGCCCGGCTAATTTTTTGATTTATTGTAGAGATGAGGTCTGCCAAGTTGCCCAGGTGGGTCTCGAACCCGCGGGCTCAGGCAATCCACTCACCTCAGCCTCCCAAAGCACAGGATTACAAGCTGAGCCACCAAGCCCGGCTAGCGAGGGCATTTATGAGATAGAAAACAGTGTGGTCTAAACTGTAGGGAAATGTGATTGGTAGGTAGGAAAGGTGAGGTAATCAAGGTTTCCTCACAAGCATAATCTAGTTACGTGAATCTTTATGACACATTCAGAAAATGGTGGTGTTAGCATGGTCTGATGGAGGAGTTTTTTGGCCCTCTGACATAAAAAACTCACCTCTTTGGCATTTACTCAGGCCCAGTTGAAGGGTGGGGGGACTCAGCTGGCTTGAACTGGGCAAGATCTGCCTCTTGCTTCCTGAAAAACAACTGTAAGCACCCATTATTACAGTGACCCACAGTTAGAGGTGTTACCTCTAAGGAAGCTAGTAGGAGTTTAGTTATATACTATTTGGCTATGTGACTTGATAGTTGGAGTTTTAAGATCTATTAGAAGTGACTAAATTAAGCAAGACAGGTTAGGTTTGGTGGGCTTAATCAGGTTAGCCTTCTGTTTCCGTCTTTGCTGTCCCACAAACATCCTTAGTAAGCCTGTCCTTCTGACTGCCTTGTTTCTATTCACGGTAGCCTTATTTTCCATGTGTCATCTGTGAGTTCTTTCCCCCCAGTATCCTGCTCCTCCCCGTTTTCCTTCAGTCACCGAGGCCTGTTGGTTCTTCATCACACAGCCTCTTGGATTTGTCCCTTACTTTACGTTTATTTTGCCCTGCCCTGTTTATTTATCCTCTCATTCCCAGACTATGGCAGGAGTCTCACTTACTCAACGGACTTATGTGTGTGAATTAGGTATTAGGGGATACAGAGATGAATAATCCAGAGTCTCTGCTCAGAGAGGAAGGAGTCTGGTAGTGGAGGCCAACTCAGAAAGGATCCCTACTCTGAAGATATCATTCCAGAGAATGTGATAAGGATGGTCACGGAAGATGGATACCTAATTGGTTTCCTTCTTCCTCCCCAATTCCTGCCTCTCCTTAGGTCCTGCCCATCTCATCCTAATTAACCTTAAAGCACTTCACACTGTCCTTATGTTGTGATCTGCCTCAGTTATCAGACTTTCTTCTTAAGTGTTTTCATCACTTTGCCTGCAGGTTAAAGGCACCCTCTTCAGCCTGGAAATCATTTATTCCAGCAACTTCTGGGAAATTGTTAGAAATGAAAATCTTGTGCTCTACCCCAGACCTGATCTATCAGAAACTCTGGATGTGAAGCCTAGTAATCTCTGTTAAGAAGCCCTTTAGGTGCCAGGTGCGGTGGCTCATGCCTATAATCCCAGCACTTTGGGAACCCGAGGTAAGAGGATTGCCTGAGCCCATGGGTTCGAGACCAGCCTGGGTAACTTGGGGAGACCTCATCTCTACAATAAAAACCAAAAATTTAGCCAGGTGTGGTAGTGCGTGTCTGTAGTTCCAGCCCACTTGGAAGGCTGAGATGGAAGGATTGCCTGAGCCCAGCAGGTCTAGGCTGCAGTAGCTGTGAGCATGCCACTGCACTCCAGCCTGGGCAACAGAGTGAGACTCCAGCTTAAAAAAGGAAGCCCTTTAGGTGATTCTGATGACCTGTAAAGCTTGAGCCTCAGCACCTTCGTGGCTGCTCAAGAGTTTCTGCAAACCAGCAGCATTCCCATCACAGGAAAGCATAGAGTTAGAAATTCAGATTGCTGGACTTTGCTAGAAAAACAGATCACCTATTGGTGAGGGTCTAGGAACCTGTCCAGGAAACATGCCCTGTGGGTGATGCTTTTGTCTATGTGGTGAAGCACTGTTAGTAGTGTGTTTTTAAAAGAATGTTGACATTCATTGTGAGTAAAATAGGAAGTCCTTGGAGGTTCTGAGTGGTGGAATATCTTGTATTTTACCTTAGTCTCTCCTTGTAATTCTGTCGAGTTCCGTGTCTTAGTGTTCTTTAAGGCTTAAAGACCTAGTCCTATGGCCCTTCTGCCTGATTGTCTTACTTACTTTTCATCCTTAGGAGATTGTACTCCATTTCCTTTGTTGAAACCCCTCCCAAACTGAAACCATCTTTTCCCAGGGAAATCTTTGCCTCTGCACAAACTCTTTGTCAGTGCTCTTTTATTTTTATTTTTTTATTTTATTTTATTTTTTTTGAGTTGGAGTCTCACTCTGTCGCCCAGACTGGAGTGCAGTGGCCGCTCCCGGCCACCGCAGCCTCGACCTGCTGGGCTCTGGTGATCCTTCCGCCTCAGCCTTCCAAGTAGCTGGAACTACAGGCGTGCACTACCACGCCTGGCTAATTTTTGATTTATTGTAGAGATGAGGTCTCACCAAGTTGCCTAGGCGGGTCTCGAACCCGCGGGCTCAGGCAATCCACTCACCTCAGCCTCCCAAAGGCGCGGGATTACAGGCTGAACCACCGAGCCCGGCTTGTCAGAGCTCTTTTAAAAGATACTTTTGTTTTTCTTTATGTTGTTAGTTTTTATTTCATGAATCTTTTCTGTAGAATGCCACCTCCTTGGAAGGAGGACTACAGATTACACACTTGAGCCCAGGAGTTTGAAGATAGTCTGAGCAACATAGTGAGACATCATCTCAATAATTTTTTTAAAAGGGTGGTTTTGATAAGATACCGTCTAATTATTCTGCCTAATTTAATATGGTTTTATGTAAAATGTGTTCTACTTTCTAATCTCTTGGCTTCTATTTGATGGACTAAGATTGGGGAATTGCCAGTTTGCCTCAAAAGATATTAGTCTGTGCTTAGTTATACAAAAAAAATACGTGTAGACATGAAGGATAAGATTAGGAGTGACTGCTATACTGCCGCTTTTCTGCCCTTTTAATTTTATTATAGGTCATATGGAGTGGGCATTTCTCCCCCATCCCTTCAGATGTTCGGATCCTAGTGTCCACCCTTCCTTTTCTCCAACTGCGAGGTTTCCCTGGATGATAGTTTTAACTACTCACTATAATGTGATAATTCTCGCTTATGGCTGCAGCCAAGACCCTTCTCCTAAACTATAAATCCACAGTTCTTGTCTTCTGCTGTTTCTAAGAAATTGTGCAAACACTTGGCAAAGTTTCTAAAAACTACAATGACCTTTGAGGTTATCTGAACTCACTCCCATGGCTTTAGGTATGTCTGTTTGCTAACAGTTTCCATAGAACAGTTTCCACGTGTAATCCTCCAGCTCAGACCACTCTTTGAAGTTCAGGCTCTAATATGTAATTTCCACTTGACACAGACACTTATATACTGACAACTTAACTCTTCAGACCTACCCCAAAACCTGTTTCTCTCAGTGTTGCCCATCTCAGTGGGTGACACATTATCTTTTACCAGCTGCTCAAGCCAAAAGTGCTAAGTAATTCTTGACTCTTACCTGTCTTTCACATCCCACATTCATTTCAAAGGCAAGTTCTGTGGCTTTCTTTTCATCATATTCACCTCCTCCACTGTCCCCACTTTGGTCTGAGCCACACCATTTCATGTCTGTACTATGAAGTAGCCTGCTGACTGGTCTTCTTGTTTATACTCTTCCACTCAGCAACCAGAGTTTTAAAACCTGAGTTACTCATCTCAAAATTCTCTCTACAATAAATAAAAATAAGCTGGGCGTCATGACGTACACACCTGTAGTTCTAGCTACTTGGAAGGCTGAGGCGGAAGGATCACCTGAACCTAGCAGGTCAAGACTGGTGGCCGTGAGCATGCCACTGCACTCCTGTCTGGACAACAAAGTGAGACTCCACTCAAAAAAAAATCTCTAGCAGCTTCTGGTCACACCTAGTAAATCCCATAGCTCTCAGAGCGACCCATGAAGTTCTACATGTTCTCCCCACCTCCTCCTTCTCTGGCCCCCTGCTTCTGGACTTCAGTCACCTTTTCCCACACCAAATACACCAATCATGTGGCTCCTTGAAGCCCTGCTGCCTGCTGCTCCATTTGCTCAGAGGGTCCTTCCTCCAGGGATCTGCATGGCTTGTTCCTCACTTCTTTACAGTCTCCAGTCATGTGTCACTTCTCAGAGAAACCATCCTCGATTACTTCCAACAGGACCCCTGTCCCTCTGTTCCCCTTCTTCTACTTTAATTTTCTTCATGGCACATATAACTCCTGACCTCACATGTCTCCTTGTTTACTGTCCATCTGCTCTTAATTGCTCATTGGTTGTATGAGAGCAGAGTTCTGTGCCTTATTCCTATGCCAAGAACAGTGCCTGGTACATAGTCAGCACTCAAATACTTGCTGATTGAGTGCCTTTGTTTTGGTTCTACTTCATTTGGGAACCTTCCATCCTTTGCTCCTGATATGACCGGTGGTTGTGGTTGTTTGTTTTATTATAGGTCTCATGTCTTCTGTTTTTCACTTGTAGTTGCTTGTCACTGCAGCTGCTGGAGATACCAGAATGGTTTATTTACTACGTGAACAAGTTTCTGATGTTATTTTTTTCTCTGCCTAATTGAAGAGGTTTGGGTCTGATTTCACTCCCTCCCCACTTTTTTTTTATGTGCTCTTTTCCTGCCTGATGGTGATTTAGTCCTGGACATGATGGAACATGGAATGATAATCAGCTGCAAGAAACGGCCCAGTTGAGGATTAAACACCAGGAAGAACTGACTGAATTACACAAGAAACGTGGGGAGGTAAAGCTAGCCTCTTTCTTTATCTATCCTCTGCTCTCTGTGAGGGTCCTATGCTGGGGGATGGGAGCTCAGAATTGGCAGCAGTTTTGGCCAAATGTGTCATCACATGCCCTCTCTATGGGAATGAAAGAGTGAGGGAGATTGAATGAAAATACCAGGCAGAATGGGGTCCTTCAGCAGGAGGGCAAGCTGGTGAGAGCTAAGTCCAGAGTCAGCATGAGAGATGCAAGTGGATAGGTTTAAAGGAAGAAAAAAGCTTGCTGCTTGGTTCACTAAAGGTCTTACTGATATCTTCATAAAGCCTTTGAGTGTGAACCCTGGAATTTCAGAATGTTCATTAGAAAGCATCAAGACCTAGTCTGCATTTACCATGGATGGGGCTTATGACAAAGCTCTGGTTGGAAAAACACAATTTACCATCAGTTCAGCTGAATTGATCATTTCTTCAGCAAAGGCAACTGAGGTCAAGGGATAGCCAGGTGTCCTCAGCCAGCTCCTGGCAGTCACCTATAATACTACCCATTTATCCAAGCTGTCCTTCAACATGGAGTGGCACAGACAATTCCCATGTGCATCCCCTAAGCCCCTCCTCACTGTCACACAACTCCCCGACCCCACAAGCACTTTTTCTTTCTTAAAAATACATTATCACCCACTATGTATTTTCTAAGTGAGGTCCTAAAGTCTCTTATTTATGAAAGTGTTCTTCTTTATCTCCCAGTTAGCACAATTGGTGATTGACCTGAATAACCAAATGCAGCAGAAGGACAGGGAGATGCAGATGAATGAAGCAAAGTGAGTAGAGACCATGCCTCCTTGGAGCCTGGTCATTGGGTCACATGTCCTTGTTTTGCCTTGCTCTTGTGAGTGGGGCCAGGGGCAAACAGTGGCCATGCTGCACTCAGAAAGAGTTTCATTTTATGCATGCATGGTCTAGGATCCTTTTCTGCTAGCTCTGTGAAAGCAGGGACAGTGCCCTCAGGTTCCCAGTCTTCCAGCATCCTTCTAGAGAAGTAGCCTTGGACCATGCATGTGTCCCAGAGGCACTCAGCTCTCCCATGGCTTCTGTTTATGTGAGCTGGTATCTTCCCGGGGTAGAGCTAGGGTCAAGACAACTGAGTACTTGGCCCCTGGAACTAGAGGAATGGGTCTGAGCAGTACTGTTGCTGATGAGGAAGAAGCCTGGCTGACAAGTGGGAACACCAAATTTTGGGACCTTGGAGCTGGACAGGTGCTTGGGTCTCCTTAATATGTAGAGAGGGATCTAGAAGCTTGGAAAGGCAAAACGCTTGCTCAAGAAATGTTAGAGCTGGTAAAATACACAAGGTTTCTAGTTTCCTATTTAAGTCCCCTTTACCACTCTGTCTATAAACCATTGGACTGGGCTTGGCTAAGAAATGTAATAGACACAAAATATTGCACAGGGTGATGGAACAAACCCACACAGTTGACTCCGACTCTGACACAGAGCTCTGGCAAAGTACTGTTTCTCCTCTAATGTCATGCTTTCAGAATTGCAGAATGTTTGCAGACTATCTCTGACCTGGAGACAGAGTGCCTAGAGCTGCGCAGTAAGCTTCAGGACCTTGAAAGAGCCAATCAGACCCTGAAGGATGAATATGATGCTCTGCAGATCACTTTTACTGCCTTGGAGGAGAAACTGAGGAAAACTACTGAAGAGAACCAGGAGCTGGTCACCAGGTGGATGGCTGAGAAAGCCCAGGAAGCCAATCGCCTCAATGCAGAGAATGAAAAGGATTCCAGGTGGGATATCAGTCCACAGTTAGAAGTTTCCATTTTTGGTAAAGTGGAACCTAGTTCTTTGAAAAGCAAGAAGCAACAAACCTGGCAGTTACTGCAAGTGGAAGAAAAAACACTAATAGTGATAGTGGATATAAAAGAAATTTGCATTCATAGGGACACTCTTACAGTTGAGCAAAAGAATACTTCCCAGAAGGTTTGTTGGCCTATACTATTTTGCCAGGGGGTTCTTTCAGTGTTTCAAGGTGAAAAGCTAATTCTTAAACAACGTAAACTAATCAGAATTAGAAAAGCATTAGGCTGGTTGCAGTAGCTCACACCTGTAATCCCTTTGGGAGGCAGGGGTGAGAAGATTACCTGAGCCCAGGGGCTTGAGACCTTATCTCTACAATAAATTTATTAGCCAAGTGATTCCAGCTACTTGAAAGACTGAGACAGAAGGATTGCCTGAGCAGAGCAGGTCGAGGCTGCAGTGGCTGTGAGCATGCTACTGCACTCTAGCCTGGGCCTCAGAGTAAGATGCTGATTCAAAAAAAAAGGGAAAAAGATTGGAATCCCTCCACAATTTAGTGAAACTGTTTAGACCCATACAAAAATTTTGATCTTGCTTATACATAAGAGGATCGTAGTCTAATTTCACATTAATATGCTTGTGAAATTTCTAAATCAAATACATTGGTACTTTCTGTTTTTTTGGAATCAGAGTCTCATCCTATTGCCCAGGCTGGAGTGCAGTGGCATACTCACGGTCACTGCAGCCTCGACCTGCTGGACTCAGGCAGTCCTTCCGCCTCAGCCTTCCAAGTAGCTGGAACTATAGGCACTAGCCACCATGCCCGGCTCATTTTTTTTTTTTTTTATTGTAGAGATGGGGATCTCACCAAGTTGTCCAGGCTGCTCTCGAACCCCTGGACTCAGGCAATCCTCTCGCCTCAGTCTCCCAAAGTGCTGGGATTATAGGCAAAAGGCCATTCTGCTCAGTCCTGATAAAAACTCTTAAATTGGGAACAGAAGAGAACTTGAATAAAAACACCTATCTCTGACCAGTAGCCAATAGTGTTCTTAACAGGGAAGCCTCCCACCCTAGATGTTAGGAATTCAAATCTCTGTTGTGATAAATGTGTGTGTTTAAAAACTCTACAGAGAGTCTAATAGAGTCTGATAGATCCATGGTCAAGGTCTACCAGTCCACCATGCTATATACACTCCCATTAAAGTTAGCAAGAAAAGAAGGAAATCCCCACTCTCACTACTCTTAGAGAATATTCTAGTCAATTTGGTTATGAATCTAGACTACACCATCGAAAAGGAGAGGGTAGTTGTGCACTGTGGCTCACGCTTATAATTCCAGCACTTTGGGAGGTAGAGGCAAGAGGATTGCCTGAGACCATCCTGGTCAACTTGGCAAGACCTCTCTACAATAAAATCAAAAAAATTAGCCAGGCATGGTGGCGTGTACCTGTAGTTCCAGCTACTTGGAATACTGAGTCAGAAGGATTGCCTGAGCCCAATAGGTTGAGACTATGGTAACTGTGATCGTGCCACTGCACTCTAGCCAGGGTGACAGACTGACTTTAAAAAAATAGAAGAGGGTAAGGATGGCTGGGTGTGGAGTGGGAGTTTATACCTTAATCCTAGCATTTTGAGAGGCCAAGACAGGAGGACTGCATGAGGCCAGGAGTTGAGACTCCTGAGTAACATAGAGAGACCCCCATCTCTACAAAAAATTTAAAAAGTAACTAGGCACTGTGGTATGTGCCTGTAGTCCTAGCTCCTTGGGAGGCTGAGGCAGGAAGATTGTTTGAGGCTGCAGTGAGCTATTATCACGCGACTACACTCTAGCCTGGGTGACAGAGCGAGACCCTGATTCTTAAAAAAAAGAAAGAAAAGAAGGGAGTGAGTAAAAGGGAGTTATTATCCACCTAGAGAACTTAAGAAAATCAAGTGAAAAATGATTAACAAAAGTTCAACAGAGATTAGACTATATATATATATATATTTTTTTTTTTTTTTTTGAGTTGGAGTCTCACTCTGGTGATCCTTCCGCCTCAGCCTTCCAAGTAGCCAGAATTACAGGCATGCACTACCATGCCTGGCTGATTTTTTTTTTTTTTTATTGTAGAGATGAGGTCTCACTGCCCAGGCGGGTCTCGAACCCGCGGGCTCAGGCCATCCACTCACCTCAGCCTCCCAAAGGCACGGGATTACAGGCTGAGCCACCGAGCCCGGCTTAGACTATATTTTTTAAGCCCTCATATTAGTAATTTAGAATTTGGGGAGATTATTTCAGTTAATCTAGAAGAATGAATAAATAATAATAGGAAGGAGTCTTAAAGAGTAGTGATGAAAAGAGGGAGGTTAGCAAATGGAAGAGATGGTCTGCACTCCCATGTTTATTGTAGTACTATTCACAGTGGCCAAGATAAGGAGTCAAGTAAGTGTCCATCCGTGAATGAATGGTTAAAGAACATGTGTGTATAGACAATGGAATATTATTTGACTTTAAAAAAGAAGGAAATTTTGTCATTTGCAGCAACATGGATGGAGTTGGAGGACATTATGTTAAGTAAAATAAGCTAGGCACAGAAAGACACATATGCTTTTTGTTCATATGTGGGAGCTAAAAAACAATTGATATCATGGAGATAGAGGGTAGAACGCGGGTTACCAGAGGCTAAGAAAAGGAGTGGGGAGTGGGGAATAAAGAAGGTTGGTTAATTGGTACAAAAATTCAGTTAGATAGAAGGAGTAAGATCTACTCAGTAGTACAATAGGTTAACTATAGTTAGCAACAATTTTTTTTTCGCTTGTAGTTCATTAAGATTTATTAGCTGTGCAGCAGTGGATCCTCCCCAGCTTTCAAGCCCACTAAATATTTTATTATAGGTCTCATGTTGGCATCCTAAAATAATGGAAAATGTCACACAGTACTGCTGAGTACAAAATGCATCAACCTAGAGTCTGATAACTTTATAGTTAGCAATAATTTATTGTATATTTCAGAATAATCAGATAAGTGGAATTGGAATCGTTTCTAAAAGATAGTGTTTAAGGTGGTGTATATCCCAATTACCACTGATTTGTTCATTACACATTGTATTCATGTATCAGAATATTACATGTTCCCATAATTATGTACAACTATTATGTATCCATATAAATTTCTTCAAAATAATGAGCACTAGTCCTACTAAATAATATGCTCTGATATCTTTAAAAGACTGTATAACACTGAATCATAAGGGTAGAAGTACAAAATGTAAGTGACTTTCTGTTTATGAAGTACTTTGGAGAACTTTTAAACAAAAGAGTAATGAAAATAAACAGTGGACCTATTAAAATTTTTAGGTTTCTTGAAGTCAAAAGATACTAAAACAAACTAGAAAGTGCTCTTTTAAAATAAATATACTTAAGGCCAGGTGCAGTGGCTCATGCCTATAATCCTAACACTTTGGGAGGTTTAGCCCAGTAATTTGAAACTGGTCTGGGCAACATAATAAGACCTCATTTCTACAAAAATTTTTTTGAAAAAATAGCCAGATATGTGGCATGTGCCTGTAGTATCAGCTATTTGGGAGGCTGAGGCAGGAAGCTACCTCAGGCCCAGGAGGTCTAGGCTGCAGTGAGCCATTATTGTGCTGCTGCACTCCAGCCTGGATGACAGAGTGAGACCCCAACTAAAGGTAAAATAAATATGCTAATATAATGTCATTAAGGAAAAGGTGAGCACTCAGACAAATGGACAGTAAACATAGATAATTCATAAAAGTAGTAGTGTGATCAGTAAACACAGCAGGAAGGGTTAATAAGAGGAAGACACAAAGAGTCCTTTCCCCTTGCTGATAGAAAGTACATTTGTACCATCTCCTGAAGGGGCACTTTGGGTTGAACAGGAGCCTGAAAGATGTTCCTACTCATTTAGCTTTAACCTAAGGAAGTAAGGAGACTTGTTTGCCAATTATTTTGTGATGGCACATAATTTATATTAGTGAAAAAATTAGCAGTACATCTCTCACAGAATTAAACTGGTATATTCAAACAGTGGGATTTTTAAAGCTGTGTATTTTAAAGTTATGTATTTTAAGAATACTTAGTGATGTGAAAAAATGCCTAAAATATACTTAACTGAAAATAGGGTATAAAATATTTTTGTATAATATCTCAATTTTGTATATGTTTTTTAAAAAGAATGGGCAGAATTATACGTGTTATTACTGGTGTTTATTTTTGAGTGGTGAGATGTTGGTTTTTGTTTTCTCATTTTATACTTATCTGTATTTTCTAACTTTCTGAAGTTTCATAAAGAAAAAAAGAGTTGTCCTTTTTGTATTCTTTGTGTCTCACATTTACTTTAAGTAAAATAGTGTGGCTTATGCCACAGAGTTCTTTGGCAGTGTGAGGGTGTTGGGAACCCCAAGGTTAACTGAATGCTGCTAGGTTGGATGTTCATGGCAGCTAAGATGCTGCTGTAGGAAGAATTTGGGGAGGTGAGGTAATGCCAAGGAAGATACCCCCCACACCGCCCTGAGCATGGTCATGGTGGGGGGGATAATAACAGACTTCCTGCTGAACATGGTATTGGAGATACATCAGATATCTGCCTTCATTCTTTATTTTCCTCCCTTTGATATGTTTTCCTAGGAATGTGCATTTGGAGTTATCGTGATTGCAGCCTGCGGAGTCTTTTCATTACATTGATCAGATATTCTTCCTAGAAGCTTTTCCTCCTCATTACCCACTTCCTGCCAATTCCCTGCCTTAGATGTCCTGCCTCTTTACATCTGGCAGCTTTTGTTTTGTTTTTGTCATGATGTAGCACACTATTTTGAAATATCCTCTTCATGTCCTGCCTCCTTCACTGGGCTGCCACATGCAGGCATAGTGGCTGCTGCTTAAGACGCACTCAGGGAATATTTTGAGTTAGTAAAGAAAGACCAGCTGGGCTCGGTTGCTCAGCCTGTAATCCTGTGCCTTTGGGAGGCTGAGGTGAGTGGATTGCCTGAGCCCATGGGTTCGAGACCCGCCTGGGCAACTTGGCGAGACTTCATCTCTACAATAAATAAAAAATCAGCCAGGCATGGTAGCGCGCACCTGTAGTTCCAGCTACTTGGAAGGCTGAGGTGGAAGGATCGCCGGAGCCCAGCAGGTCGAGGCTGCGGTGGCCGGGAGCGGCCACTGCACTCTAGTCTGGGTGACAGAGTGAGACTTCAACTCAAAAAAAAAAAGACTGGCCGGGCTCGGTGGCTTAGCCTGTAATCCCAGCATTTTGGGAGGCCAAGGCAAGTGGATTGCCTGAACCCGTGGGTTTGAGACTAGCCCAGGGAACTTGACGAGACCTCGTCTCTACAATAAATCAAAAATTAGCCAGGCGAGGTAGTATGTGCCTGTGGTTCTGGCTAATTGTAAGGCTGAGGCAGAAGGATTGCTGGAACCCAGCAAGTTGATGCTGGGGTGACCGTGAGTGTACCACTGAACTCCAGTCTGGGTGATGAAGTGAGACTCTAACCCCCTGCCAATAAAAGAAAAGAAAGACCTTTCCTTTTAGCTGTATGCATGACAGCCTGGCTGTAAGTGTTTTCTTCTCCCTGTGACCCTAGGTAAAGTTATTATCCCCACCTTGCAGAACTGGAACCTGAAGTTATAGAAGGGTGTCTACCAACCATTACCTTTCCTGTAGAGCATCGTTGCATATCCTATGCCGGGATTCTGGTTTTCCCTCCAAAATAGTTCATAGGTTGTCTCTTCTAGCTAAGAAAATGTTGGTAAATTGTATTTTTTGTTATTTGCCCTTTAAAACTTGTCATCTTCTAGGTATAAAATCAAGAGTGTGTGCTGTGCTTTTTCAAGCTGTACCTACTTTCTTTCCCAAGATTCTGATATACCACCTAGAGGTCTTTTCCCCATTCTGAGAATCACCACTATGATAGAAGCTTAAAAGGAATTTCAGCAGTATTCTTGAGTGGAGCTTAGTAGCAGTGTTGTAGTTCTGAATTAGGGGTCACTCATATGGAGCATATAACCATAGTTAGAGATAAAATTGCCAGAGGAGAGAGGGTGAGGCCAGGATTTGAAGTTAGAGAGTTGCTGAATTTAGGACTTGGGAAGGAGAGAGAAAATGATTTTCAGAGAGTGAGGTAGTAGATAAGATTTTTGACTATATTAAAATTTTGCCTGGGCTCAGTGACTCAGCCTGTGATCCCGCGCTTTGGGAGGCCGAGGTGAGTGAATTGCCTGAGCCCGTGGGTTTGAGACCTGCCTGGGCAACTTGGCAAGACCCTGTCTCTACAATGAATCAAAAATTAGCCGGCTATGGTAGCACATGCCTGTAGTTCCAGCTACTTGGAAGGCTGAGGCGGAAGGATTGCTGGAGCCCAGCAGGTCGAGGCTGCAGTGGCCGGGAGCGTGCCACTGCACTCCAGTCTGGGCGACAAGTGAGACTCCAACTCAAAAAAAAAAAAATTTTTGTCAGCCAAGACATGTCTAGCTTTAGTAAACTAAAGTTATATGCACTTTGACAGTTCAGGAATTTCACCTTACCTCAGTTTTCTCATCTGTAAATTGAGAGTAATAGTGCTTACTCCACAGATTGTTATAAGATTTGAATGAGTTAAAAATCAATAAACTAATCAGTGTCCAGTACAAGGAAGTCCTAACTAGATCTACATTATTATTCATTCTATGGGCATCTTAATACAAGTTGAGCATCCCATATCTAAAAATCCAAAATGCTCCAAAATCTGCAACTTTCTGAGCACCAACATGGCACTTAAAGGAAGTGCTCGTTCAAACATTTCAGAGTTACTATCAGTTCAGCTCAATTTTGTCTTTAGACTTGGGTACCATTCCCAACATATCTTATTATGTATATCCAAAACTCTAAAATCTGAAAGAAAAAACAAAATCCAAATTCTGGTTCTTAGCATTTTGGATAAGGGATACTCAACCCTTGTAAGACGATTTGCTGAAGAAAACTAAGACTCAACTATGACTAACTCCTGTTAAACCTGAGGCGCCTTTCTGTTCCCGAGAGGCCCTAGGTACCAGCAAGCAGTCTTTCTTCTGTGCTAGTTCATTACTTTATCCAACAATGTGATCTCTCTCCCTGACTTAACTCTTAAACCCTTCATACTGGGGAGTCTTACTGATGTTATTGGCTTGGGTCTGGGTATCTTTGCCTAGGGTAATTGTCATTTTAAATGCACTGAATGTTCAAATGTTTTACTAAAAGTGGTCATTTATTGAGAGCCCAAACCCTATGCTTTTCTTAAGCAGACATAAATGGTGGGCTTTTTTTAATAGGAGACGGCAAGCCCGGCTGCAGAAAGAGCTAGCAGAAGCAGCAAAGGAACCTCTATCGGTTGAACAGTAAGTAGAAATAAATGAATCAAAACTATGTTTTTGATAATTTGGTTCTTTTTAAATAGTTTTATTATGTTTTTATTTCTGTGAAATCATTTTACAGATTTTAGACAGAAAACTGGAAAGTTAAAGGAAGAAAATAAAAACACAGTTCTACCACCACCCAGAAGTGACAACCATAGCCATTTTAGTTATATTTTTGAGGCTTCTAATTTTTCACTTACAAATTATGTACTGAATATGATCTTTGACCAGATTTCTGATTATTTACTTGAGATAGGTTCTTGAAAGTAAAATTTTGATAGGTCAAAGCTTTTGGAAGGTATTGCCAAGTAACCTAAAAAGTTGTTTCTGTTTACACTCCTCATCAGCTATGAGTGTGATTTCTAACTTCCTGTATGCTGCACACTTTACTGACTGTGTTTCTTGTTGATGCTTTGAATGATAAGCTTTCTGCCATTAATTGGGCCAGTGTTATATAATATTGGGCTAGGGGGTTCATTCTCTTGCTCTCTTTTGGTTTGTGACTTTAAGTGGAAGCATAAGTGAAAACTAAGATCTCTTGGAACAGAAGGATTTAAGTCAGTTCTGGAGCTTTTCCTAATCTGCCTATGAGTTGGGGTGGGGGATTGCCCCTGAAATTTGAAGCTTTGTTTGAGAATGGTGTCTATTTTAATAACATTTTTATTTCCTCTAAGATGTGTTTCTTTTCTATTGAAATGCATTTTGGAATAGAGTTTTGGAATTGTGATCCACTATTTTTTTAAAAGTTGGTTGCTTCTTTGTATGTGAAGGGTAGTGGCTTAAATGGAGTCATTCACCAACAAACATCTTAATTTATAAGAAAACAAATCTTCTCATATCAGTCTTTGACTTAGATGCTGTAGGTTAGGTACAATCAGATATGGAAAGTCAGTCTCAGATGCTTTTTTCCAAAGCCACAAAGTAATAAATAACTGACCTGAAAATGAGATTTGTTTTCTTAAAAACAGCAGCTTACAGGCGAGGCATGGTGGCTCATGCCTGTAATCCCAGCACTTTGGGAGGCGGAGGTGAGAGGATTGCCTGAACCTGGGAGTTTGAAACCAGCCTAGGCAACATGGTGAGATCTTGTTGCTACAAAAAAATTAACTGGGTGTGGTAGTGTGCACCTGTAGTTCCAGCTACTAGGAAGGCTAAGGTGGAAAGATCACCTGAGCCCAGCGGGCCAGGGCTGTGGTGACTGTGAGCGTGCTACTGCCCTCCAACCTGGACAACAGAGTGAGACTCTGACTCCAAAAATAAATAAAAATAAATATCAGCTTACAAAAGGGTAATTTGTCTGCTTCCTATTGGCCAATGTAACCAGGTGACTGGATGTGACACTGTTTAAATAGGTTGAGCGACCGTCCTTCCCAAGATCACACAGGAATGGTCTGAACTAGGATGCAGACCTACAGCTGTAAAGGTCTGTTCTTAATCTCTGTGCTTCTCTAAGAGAGAAATTTCTAGGTCAAAGGACATCTACATCTTTGAAATGTTTTGATAACGAGTTGGCAAATCCTGGTATTTTCTTGTGGCCCTGGACCTGTGCACAGTTCTAGGTACTTTAGACCATAAAACTCTTATCTTAAACAGAGCGTTTCATAAGCTTGACTCATATTACCTCTTCATGCCATTTTTTGCAGTTCTCCTTTTGTCCTTGTGTGAGCACCGGTGACTCACAGACTTAGATGTATGTAAAAGGCAACTAAGAAAATAAAGAGGACATGGTTGTCCTCTTTATTTAGGCCTGCTTTTATTCTCTTCCACATCCTGGCCAAGAGTGTAGTACAATTACACATAATCCTGAAATAAATAGCTAAGGAAAATAAATTTACTTTGACTTGGTTTAACTTGCTTGGTAACAAGTTCTTAAGTGTATATTTGCATAATCCAGATAATTAATCATGAAAAAAGAAAAATCTTGCTGTCAAGTTCTTATGAATTCGAACAGTAGGCGATGAAGTCTTGGGTTATTGAATTTTATTATTTTCTCATGAAGATTGCAACTCAGTATGGGGTCATTAAGACCAAAATACTTAATTGCCTTACCCCCCAACCAGGAAAGATATGGCCCACCAAAATGAGGAAGGGGAATTCCAGGGGTGCTTTGCATCCAGTGGGCTAAAAAACAACAAAAGGAGCGTATTCCTGTGATTGGATTCTATCATTTGAAATGTAATGGGCTCTTAATGTCAGAGGCACTGTGTATTTAAGTGTAAGCGTAAAATACCCAGAGTCAGAAATGAATAGTGTTTAGATTTTGCTTTTTTGTTTTTTAATTAAATTAATATTTAAAGCCAGGTTGCTGATGCAGCCATAGATTTCGTGGCCTTTTTAGCAATCCTTTCTTCTCCTGGATTCTCTACACTATCATTTTCTCATTCTCCATAGTTGCCCCTCACTATTCTAGGTGCCACTCAGCCCCTGTCTCTTGGGAACTGTGTGTTGGTGAGTTCTTCAGCCCTTTAGCTGTGTAGCTGGTTGCTGGTCGAATGCGCTACCTTGGTACTGGTTATGTGGTTAATAGACTTGAGACCATTATTTCATTGCTTCCCAAGTGGGAGCTCTGCTTACACCTAAAAGGATCAAGAGTTCACTTGTAGAATTATTCTCAGCTGGAATTCTGAATTTGATCTGAACAGGTTAAATGATTATTTTAGTGTGGCCCAGAACATGGCAGCTCTTCTTTTTCTCCAGAAACACTTAATCATCACTGTCATAGCCAAGTGACAGAGGTTGTGACTAGAAAATGTCATTGTCATTTGCAGAACAGATTAATTACTAAGCTCCTGTTTAGCAAAATCAAAGAATCTCTTGCCTTTCTTTCCAGGGATGATGACATTGAGGTCATTGTGGATGAAACCTCTGATCACACTGAGGAGACCTCTCCTGTGCGAACCGTCAGCAGAGCAGCCACGTAAGTAGACAGAATTGGGCCAGGAAAGGGAGAACTTGAGCAGCAATTTGACAGCACATATGTGGACACGATGAAAGAATGTAGTCAGATACACTCAAGTTCCTGAACCCTTTTACCAGGACACCTGATTTTGTACACACCACAGAGATGTCCAGTCCTCAGTTCGACTCTGGTTAATGGTAGAGAAGCAGAACACAGAAGGCCTCACTCTTCTAAATACAAAAAAAACTTAGTGACTTCCTAAAAGATGGACAGTTAAACCTTATTACGCAGAGCATACATCATGCTGTCTGATTCTTACTAGAGCTCATGGGATTTTCTTTTTTTTTTTCTTTTTTTTTAGTAATTTGCTGAAGCAAGACTGAAGAATGGGGATTGGTTGCTAACAGCCAGAAATTGTTAGAATTGTTAGAGAATTTCCTTGTCTAAGGCTTTATTTCTAGGGAAATAAATTGATTACTTGGGAGCCTTATTTCTTTTAAAACTTCTGGGCTGGGTTTTCCCTTCTACCTTCCCACTGTTTTCTTGTGGTTTGGTACTTTGTTGGGTTTCTCTTGACTGGGGTTTGGAAACTAAATGGGAAACATATACTCTTGGGTACCTGTTTTTGTGGACTGTTTTTATTGATCGATTATTTGGGAAAAATGTTTCTAAGGTTTAAACCTATCCTCCCCTCCTCTTTAGTAAGCGACTCTCACAGCCTGCTGGAGGCCTTCTGGATTCTATCACTAATATCTTTGGGTAGGTTAGAATACTTTTACCTTTCCTTTTAAAAATGTGTATAAATATTCCTAAGTATATGTACATGATTTTTATTTTTAAAATGTACACCAGAATTTCAATGGTACGGAGTATACAGATGCCTTAATTTCAGCTTTTTATTTAGCTTCTTCCTTTTTTCCTCAACTTCCTTTCTCTTAATCTCGCTGCCTGCTGATCTCTGGCCTTTCCCTTTAGTCTGTCCGAGTCTCCCCTTTTGGGACATCATTCTTCTGATGCTGCCAGGTGAAAATATTACCCTCTTAGTCCAGCATGTGAGTGTGGGTCATTGATAATTATGCTGATCACTGCTTCACTACCTTCAATCATCAGATGTACACATGCTAACCAGGATGCTTTGCATGTTCCTAGGAGTGCTGGAAGCTCTCAAGCGAGGCTGTCAGGTTGAATTCTTTGTACAGTACTCATGCTCCTGTTTCTTTTGGCATGCTGTTCGACTCCATGTTGGCCACAAGTGTACACTGAGGATCATTGTAACTAGGCATAGAAATCATCTTTAAATAGTTTTGCAAAAATAACAAAGTGCTAGTCTGAGCTAGCTGTTACATTAAGTTGAGAAAGTTTCCTAGCAGTTTATTGATTGATTGTTGTTTGGAATTGCTTTTCAATGTTGAGTTGTGGAGTCCGTGAGTTAGTGAGCAGGAGAGTATGTCATGTGCTGGCCCTCTTTCTTGTTTGAGGGAGGGTGCTTCTGGTTTGTTGTGAATTGTTCTGTAGTTTGAAGGATCTAGGAGGGACAAAAGCTATTGACCGGCAGTCTGTTTAAACAAGGTCGTCTTGGAGTCCTTTCTGACAATTTAATGAATAATAAACCTGTGCGATCCTGTCTAATATTTGTCTTTATGTTATTTCTTAGGAGACGCTCTGTCTCTTCCTTCCCAGTTCCCCAGGATAATGTGGATACTCATCCTGGTTCTGGTAAAGAAGTGAGGGTCCCAACTACTGCCTTGTGTGTCTTTGTAAGTATGCTTCAGCCCCAAACCCCACCACACTTGATAACAGAGCCTGGAAATGAAAGGATCTTCCCATGCCTGCAGCTAAGCTTTTCATTGTTTTATGCACATCACGTGTACCTCTTAATTCTGTCAGCTGTAGTAATTGATACATTTTGCTAAGTTTGAGAGGACAGAATTTATGAGAACCATTCTTTGAAGCACAGACTGACTGAGAGGTTTGGTAGCATGAGAGAAATGGCAGGGGAAAATTCTTTAGGGATCGTGAGAAACTGGAGAATGATTCATGCAATTGTTGTCACCAGTTGGCTGTAATGTAGAATCAGATGCCAGTCAGGGGTCTTGGAAGTTCAGTAGGACAGCTGTTGGTTTTATGAATTATACGCCTACCTGTATGACTTCCAGTCATTAGGAGTCTATGATTGGAAGTCACTGTGAAACCAGGCCTGCACCAGGAGTTAGTTCAGAGCTGGGTCCTAGTACTAGCAGATAATCTGTGTCCCAACAGGAATAATTGAGCAGAAATTGAACCAACCTGAGGAAACATTCAGGACCTGGCTTAGGGCTGCCAAAGCACTGGGAGGGGGAAGAGCAGAGCACAACAGAGCCCAGAGAGTTGGGCGGACTCCAGGATTGGCTTGATAACTGGTAGGGGGTGAGTTCAAGGAGCCAGCTCCCAGAGCAGAGAAAGATTTGCTGTAAAGAAGGGGTCGAATTTATGGTGGGAGCTTTTGGTTCTGGGCATAAGGAGAAACTTTAATAGTTAGGTATTTTTACACAGTGGACTGACTAAGTGATGAACTAACCACCTTGTAAAGTGAGTTCTGCTTTGGAGGAGTTGGGCTGGGGAGTGTTAAAGGACCCTTCCCACTCCATTCCTGTGATTCTATACTGGGCCTGAGGTCGATGATGATTGGTAAAAGGTCTGATTGCACCGAATGTCACAGTCCCTTCCTTGCCCTCAACTCCCAGCAGCCCATTTGTTTCTCCTATCACATTTAAGTCATGTGTATGGGTTAATGGAGCAGCTGATAGCTTGAGATTCTGTCAGTGTGTGTTTCTGAGAGTGAACGGTTCGCAGCTGACGGGTATCCAACAGAAGCAGTTATTCAGGAGATTGACGAGTGGCACTCATGGGTGTGATGGTGCATGATCTCAAGTTTTCAATCTGAGACCTCCTAAGGAGAAAGAAAGGAAATTCCTTGGAGGCGAAAGGTTTGGTTACCTGCCATACAGATTTTCAGCAGTGGGACACATGAGGGAAAGTAGGAAATCAAATTGCCAAAGTGATGCTTATTTCCCAGTCAGCTAATAGAGTTGCTCTCTCAGTAATATTTCAAGCATTTTATTATTTCAGTCTCAAGCAAACGTGAACATCAGATGGTCTCTTCTCAAAATAACCTTTTAGGCAAGTGGTTAGATTTAACAGTCTATTGATAATCCATCTTTTCTAGTCTTCCCCCTCCCCCATTTATGGAAATTTTTCAAGCATAACCAGAAGTAGAAGAGTACAACGAACTGCTGAGTAGTATCATTCATTCAGGCAACTTCAGTTAGCCCCATTTGTCAGTCTTTTGTTCCTCCCTCCCCCACTTTTGCTGTAACAGTTGAAGCAAATCTCAAACATTGTATTTCATCCAGAAATACTTTGCTACCCATGTTCCTAAGAGAGTAGATTATAGTGAATTCTTCCATTATTTCCTCTTATTCTAGGATGGGATGCTTTTTAACTTTATCTCCCCTCTCATCCTGAATAAAAATGCTATCTTTTCAGGTCATATGTTTCAGGGGTATACCAGTCTCAGAAAATTTACTTATGAAGAATTTAAATTCTCCCAAAATAACAGTTGTTACTTTTCATTGAAGGCCTTTTCATGAACAGGTACAGTCCTGGGTTGTAAAAAACTTTTTTGGAGATGAGCAAAAGTTTGCTTGGGGAGAGATCGAGTAAATAGGGAGGGTAGGGCATGGAGGTCATGCCATGTTTGGTCAGAAACTGCTGAACATCGGCGTGGTGTGCTCATAGATTACTCTTGAAGTGAGCAAACATGTTGAGAGAATCTCAAAAAATTCACCAAAGCCAAACGTAACCTCTCGTAACAATGCTAGCTGGTACACTGATGCCTATGGGTTCCTAGAACACTTACTTAGCAGGGGAAGCCTGTACTACAAGGAGCCTGCCCTCCAAAAAATATGTTTTTGGGGGGTGTCCCCCTTGTAGTATTTAATATGAGTTAATAGTAAATTAGTCATTAGTAGTGTTAATTCAGTCTGGGCCAAAAGAGGCAGTTAAGTCTAGGCCTACTTTTAAACTAGTAAGGTCGGTGCAGGTCATTATTCTTGGAAGTAATCAAATTAATACAAACTGTACATACTTTTTGAGAATGTTGCACTGTATTTAAATAAATACAACTGTATCTAGAAGAATGAAATGGTAATAGAATCTTAGGGAATCCTGAGCTAGGAATTCAACTTAGTGACCTGCTCTACTACTTTTTAAGGATGCGCGTTTTCCCTGAGTTAGGCATTTGGAATAGTTGTTTGTTTCAGACTCTTGGAATAATAATGATTGGATTTGAAACAGGTTCTTGTCTTGCAGGATGCACATGATGGGGAAGTCAATGCCGTGCAATTCAGTCCAGGTTCCCGGTTACTGGCCACAGGAGGCATGGACCGCAAGGTTAAGCTTTGGGAAGTGTTTGGAGGTGAGAGCCTCCTGGCATCTGGTTGGCCTTGCTTTTAAATAATCTTTGAATTGTTCATCTTCTCAAAACATTTGATGTAAGGAGTCATTTGGCCAAACCATTATTACCTTTTCAGTTACTCTTTACATCGGAATGGATGTTTGCTCTGGTTTTCCAACTAGTGACTGGAAGTTATGGATATGATTATGCATATGTTTTTACTCAAGTAGGGTCAAGGAATAAGACTATAGGAGCCACTGTCAGGTTTCCATAGTTACAGCACAGACATTATCCCTGCCCAGCAATAAATAGCTCTAAAGTTCTTTTGTCTTTATTAATTCATCTGACCCTTGCAATAGCCTTGTGTGGTTAAAAAAGTAGGTATCACTGTTTAACAAATTAAGACAGTAAAATTCAGATACTGCATGACTTACATAGTTGATTTACATGGCTAGTAAATGGCTTATATGGCAAGTGATTGGTGGAGCCAAGGCTAACCCAGCTCTTAAGGCTTGAAATCCCATGTTCTTCCCACTAAGCCATCTCTAGACTTCTCAAACAACTGAAAAGTCATAGGGGTTACTGCTTTTTAGGTTTATTAGAGCAAGAACAGTCTACTAATCTTTTTGGTTAGAATAGATTATTAGTAAAACCCCCACTTGTCCTCCCCAGCCTTTGATTTTCAAGAAAAGGATTCAGTAGTTAAGTCCCTGGCAGTTACAGACTGTTAAAGCCCATGAAGATTTGCCATTTTTCCAGAACACCATGTTAGCTTATCAGTTTTAATGGCTAAAGCTATTAAAACAATAATAAAAAAATCATAAGGAAAGAAATTTTAGGGGACTTGGTTTATAAAATCTAAGGAATCTATTTTGATTATGTCATTGAGATTAAATGGAGATAACACTAGAAGCATTTTTGTTTTACTTTTCGGTCAGTAAAAATACCTATAAACTGGGCATGGTGGTTCACGCCTGTAATGCCAGAACTTTGAGAGGCAGAGGCGGGAAGATTGCCTGAGCCCATGGGTTTGAGACCAGCCTGGACAACATGGTGAGACCTCGTCTCTGCAAAAAATTAGCCAAGTGTGATGGCGCACACCTGTGGTTCCAACTACTGGGAATGCTGAGGTGGAAGGATCCCCGGAGTTCAGCAGGCTGATGCTGGGGTGACCATGAGTGTGCCACTGCACTCTAGCCTGCGCTATGGAGTGAGACTCCAACTCAGAAAAAATTAGAGATGCCAATCTTTAATTCTTAACCTTTTTGCTGCTGAAAAGGAAATACACACGAATCAAAATTAATACTGACATACTTTGTGCCAGATCGTAATTTATGTTAATAAAATTAAAAGTTTTTACTGGATCTACAGAAGTAACACAAAATGTTTGCAGCATTCTTTATAGTTTTAAGTAGGGCCTTTATTTCACAAACAGCTTTTTCAGTCTGCAGGGTTTTTTCCCCTGGCTTAATATTTGCTCAATCTTGGAAGAGGCCAATCCAAGTGACCTTTTTTTTTTTTTTTGAGTTGGAGTCTCACTCTGTCACCCAGACTGGAGTACAGTGGCCGTTCCCAGCCACTGCAGCCTCGACCTACTGGGCTCCAACGATCCTTCCGCCTCAGCCTTCCGAGTAGCCGGAATTACAGGCGCGCACTACCACGCCTGGCTAATTTTTTGATTTTATTGTAGAGATGAGGTCTCGCCTGTCCAGGCGGGTCTCAAACCCGCAGGCTCAGGCAATCCACTCACCTCAACCTCCCAAAGGCACGGGATTACAGGCTGAGCCACCGAGCCCAGCTCCAAGTGACCTTTTATGAAATAGTTCAAAAGGAGAAGTGTCCTCACTTCCAAGATGACAAGAGAAGGAACAGTGGTCTTGCCAAAAGGGGGCATACCCACATGCAGCCTATTCACTGCACAAACTGTCCAAGGTGTGCCCAAGGACAAGGCTACTAAGAAGTTCGTCATTTGAAAGACTGTAGTTATTAGGGACATTTCTAAGTGAGCATCTTTAATGCCTGTGCTTCCCAAGCTGTGTGTGAACCTACATTACTGTGTGAGTTATGCTACTCACAACAAGGTAGTCAGGAATTGATCTCCCCACCCCAATTTAGACTTGAACATCTCACCCTAATTTAGACCTGTAGGTGCTGCCCCATGACCTCCACCAGAGCCCATGTAAAGAACTGAGTCCTTAAGGACTGAAGACAAACTGCCCTCTGAAGGAAAAGAACATGGAAATTACACTTTAAAAAAGTTTCAAGGGATTTGGGTGCTATGACTCATGCCTGCAATCTCAGCTCTTGGGAGGCTGAGGTGACAGGATCCCTTAAGGCCAGCAGTTCAAGACCAGCCTGAGCGACATAGTGAGACCTCATCTCTACAGTGAAAAATTTAAAAAGTATCTAGGTGTGGTGGCATATGCCTGTAGTCTCAGCTACTCAGGAGGCTGAGGTGGGGGGATTGGTTGAGCCAGGAATTCAAGGCTACAATGAGACATGATTGTGCTACTGCATTCCAGCCTGGGTGACAGCAAGACCCCGTCTAAAAGAAAAGAAAAATAGTTCAGGGTCCTTTTTTCATCCATTTAAAGTAACAGAAGAAGGGCCATTTCCACCCAGTGGGAACATTTATTTTTGCTTATTCTTCCAAAAGCAGAAACTCCATTGGGAATTAATGATATAAATGCTGTTGACATAGTCTCCCTGGTAACTTGTAGATAAGAGTTCTAATACGGTCTTTTTGAGATGAATCTCTTGTATAGAATAGCAGTCATTCATTGGTTATTTCTTAAATTTGGGACTGTGTCAAGTGCCAAGCAAATAAACCAATATTTTGAGTGTGAGCCAAGGAGATATTTCTTAGAATTTGCAGTAATATTTTTGTCTGTAAAGATGTCATCTAAATAAAGTAAAGCCTTAACTAATGATTGTTAGACTTTTTCAGCCCCTTTGAACATCTAATGAAAGCTAGGATACAAAAAAAGGCATTAAATATGCTGAGTTTCTTTTATTATTTTTTAGTCAATCTCAATCTGTAGCCCAGGCTGCAGTGCAGTGGCATGGTCATGGTTCACTGTAGTCTCACCCTCCTAGTCTCTGGCTATCCTTTCACCTCATCCTCCTGAGTTGCTGAGACTATAGGCAGACACCACCATTCCCAGCCAGGTTTTTGTTGTTTTGCAGAGGTGAGGTCTCACTATGTTGCCCAGGCTAGTCTCAAACTCCTGGGCTCAACCAGTCCTCACCTTGGCCTCCCAAAGTGCTGAGATTACAGGTGTGTACCACCACACCTGGCCCAAATATGCTGCATTTTACAGATAAATTCAGGGTAGGCCTTCATCAACCAGGTAAATAATCCGTGTCCTTAATGTGTGTGACAGTTTCAAATCAGTGTTCATGTCATCCTGACATCCAGTTCTATTCATTATTATTGCTACTAAGGAGTATTGAATAAGATACAAGTTCGTTGAAATGTTTCCTATTCTGTGCTTCTCTTTGATGAATTTGACTACAGTGGTTCCCTAATTCTTAGAGCCTGTTTGTGTAGATCATATTTAGGCTGCCCTTTTAAAAGAAACTTGATCAATTCATTGAGATTTTTGCTCTTCTTTGTTTGTAATTGCAACATTAAAGTTTCTGTGTGAGTGGCCAAGCTGTCTGAAAGCAGGGTGAGTGCATTGGCTCTATTGGTGGGGAATTGTTTGGAAGGAAAGGAGGCGCTGCCAGTTAGTAGGCTTGCCAGAGTCTTAGGTTCTCAGAGATAAAGTATGGGGGCAAATTCCAGAAACTCCACGCTAAGTTGCTGGCATTCTAATGACTTCTCAGTTAAACATAACTAAGACAATTTCTTTTCACACCTTAATGAGAATTATCACATCATGGATTCTGAAATTTATGGTCATTTTCTACAAGAGTGATAGTTCAGTTAAATTTTGTGTCGAGCTCAGTTGACACATTTTATGGATTTCTACACTTCTCTTTGTTTTTGTTCTGTTTTAGTTTTCGTTATTTTGTGATAGGATCTTGCTATGTTGCCCAGACCCTCAGACTCCCGCCTCAGCCTCCCAAAGTGCTGGGATTATAGGTGTGAGCCGCTGTGCCCCAGCCACTTATACATCCTCTTTGTAAAGAGAATTATTAATAAATTTCCTAAGGAATAGCTTTAAAACACATATGGAAAATCCTAGAGTCGGCATCTACTTAAACATTTATTACTCCTAGAAACTAATAGTATGTTTTGTCTGACATTCTTTTTGTCCTGCTTTTGTTTAATTCTGTAAGGTGCAGGAAGGCTGCTGTTTTGATAGTAATTGGCTTTTGTTGTATTTCACTGCCCTGTTTAAACTTATTTATTGACTTTAACTTCTTGTCATTTCCTAATATTTTCTTTTAATGCAGACAAATGTGAGTTCAAGGGGTCTCTATCTGGCAGTAATGCAGGCATTACAAGCATTGAATTTGATAGTGCTGTAAGTATTCAATATCTGTGATTATAGAGATTTTTAGAAATGATTTAAGACATCTGATTCTTGAAATTTTAAAGTAACTTACCTGGTTTCTTTGTCATTCTCTGTATCTTAAGTCAAATCCATATTAGTGTAAAATGCAAGTAGATTATAGAATTAATTGCTATATCAACTCTCATAAACCCTTAAGTTTATGTGTTAGGCTTGTGATATTACTTAGTACTCTCTATAATTTCACTTAATAGCCATATTTTGAGTGTTTAAGTGCTGTACTCCAGGGGCCAGTGTGGCCCTTAACCCTCAAAGATTCAACATTTAAATGAAAGTGACCTAAAAGTATTTAACTGCTAATCATTGTACTAAGGTTATGGAGGACATGTGTGTAGAGTAGAAAGGAAACATTGATGAGAGCAATTCATGCTGGGGCAAGGGTTAGGGACCACAGACTTCTGAGCAGACCTTGAGGTAACCAGCAATCAGATGCAAAAAGTGAAGACAGACATCGCATGTAGAGGGAGCAGAGGTTGGGCAGCACTGCTTAATAATCCATGTCCTAAATATATATGACAGCTTCAAACCAGTATTCATGAAGTACTGACATCGGTTCTAATCATTATTATTACTACTAGAAGTACTGAATAAGATAAAATTTTGTTGAAATGGTTCCTATTCTGTGCTCCTCTTTGAAAAATTTAGCTACTACAGTGGTTACCTAATTCTCTTTTTTTGAGTTGGAGTCTCACTCTGTCACTCAGACTGGAGTGCAGTGGCCACTCCCGGCCACTGCAGCCTCCACCTGCTGGGCTCTGGTGATCCTTCCACCTCAGCTTTCCAAGTATCTGGAACTACAGGCGTGCACTACCACGCCCGGCTAATTTTTTGATTTATTGTAGAGATGAGGTCTCGCCAAGTTGCCCAGGTGGTCTCAAACCTGCAGGCTCAGGCAATCCACTCACCTCAGCCGGTTACCTAATTCTTAGCTTGAGAGATGAAGATACCACCCTTGTGTCACCCAGCTATCACATTCACCTCGGGGCAGCGTAAAGATGATCTACACAGACAAACTAAGAATTAGGTAACCTTAGTTTGTCTGTGTAGATCACCTTTAAGCTGCCCCAGGGTGAATGTGATAGCTGGGTGACACAAGGGTGGTATCTTCATCTCTCAAGAGCCTTTACCTTCGTGTCATCTCTGGGGAGCCTTTTCCAAGTTCCTGATTGGGGTGAGAGTCCTTCTGTGCTACTGTAGCATTTTGTGCAAACCTGTTCTGTGGAACAGTGACTGGCTGTATCTGCTTCTTTTAGTAAACTGAGATCTGCTTCCCTGAGAATGAATGCTTGGGTGTTAATCATTTTTGTGCCCCCAACACCCAGCACAGTGCCTGGAGTATTAGGTTTCTAATAACTATTTCTTGAATTTAATTGGGAAATGATAAGGAAATAAGGTAGGAAAGTTATGTGTGAGTCAGAGTGTATGTTGTGCTATAGAGTTTAGACTTTTGTAGAGCCATATGGAGCCTTGAGAAGTTTTTAAAAACGGCTGTAGCGTTAACTTATGAGATAGCCAGCATTGAGGAGGCAGGTCTGCAGTGGCCCAGGTGTTTCTGCAGACTTGCTAAAAGCCCAAGCTGTGACTGAGGCAGTGGGGATAGGGTCTAGCTGAACACACTGAAGATGAACAGGACTCAGAATGGTTGGGAGATGAACGAGGCAAGGAAAGAGTCAGGGCTGCCACTAGAGTGTCTAGCTTATTATTATTTGTTATTAGTGAGGTTGCCAGGCAAAAGTGAGTGGGGAAAGCAGTGTTGTTCCATTTTGAGCTTGAAATGTCCGCAGTATTCTACTAAAATTGCAGCGCTCAAGAGAAAGGTCTGAACTTGAAGGAGACTGGTGAATTGACAGCACACTGAGGGTAGTAGTTGGTATTCAGATTAGGTGTGGAGTTTGGGGCATCTGATCCTTGGACTTAATTGGGGAAATTTGTATTGTGTGAGCTGAATTCTTCTGTTTTGGCTGAAAGTTGTTTTTATTCTCCTTTATTCCTACAGGGATCTTACCTCTTAGCAGCTTCAAATGATTTTGCAAGCCGAATATGGACTGTGGATGATCATCGATTACGTGTAAGACCCAGTTAAGAAATCTCCAAACTTCAGGTGGTTATCAAGACACATAAAACTCTGGGGGTTGAGGCAGGAGGATCACTTGAGCCCAGGAGTTTGAGGTTGCAGTGAGTTTTGACTGTGCCACTGCACTCCAACCTAGATGACAGAGCGAGACCTTGTCTCTAAACAAACAATAAGTTAAAAGCAATTTATAGAAAAATAGCAGATTCCTAATTAGGGGACTTGTGTTGTTTTACTGAAATTTATGCTTGATTCACTCTGCTCTTTACTTTCATCCTTGGGAAAATTTATTTTCATTTTATACTCTTATTCTAACAAGATTCAATATCAAAATACTTGTGATGGCCAGGTGCGGTAAATCACACCTATAATCCCAGTCTTAAGAGGAAAAGCAGGAGGATTGCTTGAGCCCAGGAGTTCGAGACCAAATCTAGGCAACATAGCAAGACTTCATCTCTACAGAAAATCAAAAAATTAGCTAGAGGTGGGGTGGCACATGCCTATAGTCTTAGCTACTTGGGAGGCTGTTTTGGAAATTTCTCCAGTAAGTTCTGTATTCTTCTGGAAACAGTTGTCTTTGATTGGTGTTAATGTTAGCTGTATGATTAAGGCATTACCGGAATGGGCAATTTTGTGTTTAGAAAATTGTGGTCAGCACATGGGATCTGCCATGGGGCATGGAAGAGCCTGTGCAGAGAAAGCCCAGTAGAGCAAAGGAAACTTAAGCCTCCTCACGTTGAGGCTTATGCTGTGGTGACACCTGAACCCACTGCCCTATCTCTTGTTATTCCTGTCTAAAAAGTAGAAGATGAAACCTAAAAGTAGTGTTCATATTAAATATTAAAAATAAATTTCAGAAACATGGGTTTGGCTGGGTGTGGTAGCGCAAGCCTGTAATCCCAGCACTTTGGGAGGTCGAGGTGAGAGGATCGCCTGATCCCAGGGGTTCAAGACTAGCCTGGGCAAATTGGTGTGACCTCGTCTCTACAGTTAATCAAAAAATTAACTATGCATGGTAGCACACGCCTGTAGTTCCAGCTAATTGGAAGACTGAGGCGGAAGGATTGCCTGAGCCCAGCAGGTTGAGGCTGCAGTGGCCATGAATGTGCCACTACACTCCAGTCTGGGACAAAGTGAGACTCAGACTCAAAAAAAGAAAGAAAGAAAGAAACACGGGTTGAAGAATTTTAAATAAATTTCATCAACTTAAGAGGATTTTTTATAAATGACATAGGTGAATGAATGCATGTAGCAGGACAGACTATGTACCATTGGGAGCACTAAAATGACTGGTCGACCTCATTCAGGTCCAGCTGAGTTCCACCAAGAACAAGATGAACAGAAGTCCAGATTTTGTAAAAACCAAGCTAATAATACATATAAAAAGCCAAGAAATAAAACATCCCTTTCCCTTATTCCATTAGTTCAGTAGTTTTATTCTTGGCAGTAAATCAAGAGGAGAGCTCTAGGCATATAGGTGTTCACTGCAGCAGCATTTGTGCAAGACTCTTAACGAAAGGAGGTGCAAAAGGAAGAGATTTGATGCCATTAACCTTGTTGAGTCCTTACTAAAACAGCATGAGAATATTTCTCATTCAAAGATGTTAACAAACGTCCAGGGTGTTGGCATCAATGGGATCTCAAAGCTCGTGAATTTTTAGCTCTCACATGCAAAACTGCCTATTCTGTAAGGTTAAAGAAGCAATGGACAAATGTTTAGGAGGAGTATAATCATGTTAAAGTTCAGCATGTGCATTTGGAATGTACAGATGGCCCTCAGTTTATGATATTTTAATTATTCCACATTTGATTTAAGAAGTAGCCTGGCCGGGCATGGAAGCTTAAGCCTGTAATTACAGCATTTTGGGAGGCCGAGGCGAGAGAATTGCCTGAGACCAGGAGTTCGAGACCAGTCTGGGCAACTTGGTGAGACCTCATCTCTACAATAAATTAAAAAAAATAATAAGCCAAGAGTGGTGGTACGTGCCTGTAGTTCCTGCTACTTGGAAGGTTGAGACAGAAGGATCTCCTGAGCCCAGCAGGTCGAGGCTGTGGTGGCTATTAGTGTGCCACTGCACTCCAGCCTGGGCGACAGAGTGAGACTCCAACTCAAAAAAAAAGATGAAGTAGCCCACCCAAGTTTTGGCTCTCCCCATGATTTGCACAGATTGGATGTTTTATACTGAGTGGAATCATTATTCATGTACTGTATTTAGTGTAAGCTTTGTTGCTGGAGCGTCTTGATTTTACCAGAAGGATCAGTGGGAGGTTTTTACACAACTATAGCACAGCTACCACCTGACTAGCAGCAGTTGTAAAATGGTGTCCCAGTTTCAGAGAGGTTTAAATGTAGAATAAATGAATCTGAGAACCCATACAATCTTCTCCTATTGAAGAGGAAACTTACATGGCCCTACATTTTCTGCTTCTATATGAAAGTGGAGTTGCTCCACTAACAACAGAGGAAAGATTGGTTCCTTTTTTGTTTGTTTCTAAAAAAAATGTTTTTCTGAGTTGGGATCTCACTCTGTTGTCCTGGCTGGGGTGCACTGACATATAACCATGGCTCACTGCAGCCTCAACTGCTGGGCTCAGGCAGTCCTTCTACCTCAGCCTTCCAAGTAGCTGGAACTATAGGCGCGTACCACCACAAACAGCTAATTTTTTGGTTTATTGTAGAGATGAGGTCTTGCCAAATTGCCCGGGCTGGTCTTAAAACCCTGAGCTCAGGCAATCCTCTTGCCTCTGCCTCCCAAGGTGCCAGGATTACAGACATGAGCCACCACGCCCAGCTAATACTAAAAACTTAACACTGAACTATGAGATCTTATCTTTGGGAGTCAGGGGTTAGAACCCAGTAAGTTAGTAGATGTTTATTAGGGTATTTTAAAGGCATAAGAAGGAAACCATCAGTGAATACCTTCTGAGCTTTGGAGGTTTTGTCCACAAAAATAATGATGATGATGATCCTACGCTGTAAAGAGGTCAATGATGAATAGTAAAAGGTCTGACACCCCAGATCCCCTCCCTGCATCTCACCTTATCCCCAGCTGCCTCTCCTCATCAGGCTCTAGGAGTGCTGTGATGAGCAGAAGGGTAGCTGACACTCTGTGATGTCCCCATTCTGTGTTCCTTGGCAAGCTCAAGGAAGATGCTGTGGTTGGCATCCAACAACTTATTCACACAGGGGTTTTTGATTGTTTGGGAGTGCTGGTATCTGTGGCTATGATCTGACTTTTCAAGCTGAGACCTCTGATTGAAAACCCCCAGGGGTTTTAATCATTTATATAAAGAATTTTGATGTTTCCTTTTGTAAGTTATGCCTGCAGTGATCCTGTCTAGTCTAACTTTAAATATGGAATTGACTTTCACAGCATGGGGTAAAATCTAGGCTTTTAAGAATTTAAAATTTGATAGAATCCACACTTACAAAAAGCTACAAGAGCAGTACAGGCAGGTTATCTGTAGTAGAGCTGATTTCAAATTCAAAATTGAGGAGTGGGAAACACATAAAGTTTGGTGCTAGTGATGCTGGGTTTTATTTTATTATTTCTTTCTCTTTTTTTTTTTTTTTGAATCAGAGTCTCATTCTGTTGCCCAGGCTGGAGTGCAGCGACATGCTCATGCCCACTGTAGCCTCAACCTGCTAGGTTCAGGCGATCTTTCTGCCTCAGCCTTCCAAGTAGCTGGAACTATAGGCGCATGCCACCTACCACACCCGGCTAAATTTTTGTTTTATTGTAGAGACGAGGTCTTGTCAAGTTGCCCAGGCTGGTCTTAAATCCCTGGACTCAGGCAATCCTCTTGCCTCGGCCTCCCAAAGTGCTAGGATTATAGGCTTGAGCCACCGCACCTGGCTGATGTTGGGTTTTTAATGTTACTTTTAGTGAGAGATTTATCCTTTTGGTCTTGATACCTCACCTCTGGACAACACTCATATGAAACAGAGAGCATTTTGTGGCCTCTTTGGTTGACACTCAGTGAATGAAACGGTGCTTCACATCCTGTGTTCCTTTTCCCTTCTCAGTATTCCTGGCCAGAACTCAGGGTATTTCGAGACTCTGGCTCTGGAGGTTTGGATGCAGTGGATACTCTGCCAGAGTGGGCAATGCATGAGTCCCTGAGGCTCACCCTGGCTGTGTTCTCTCTCCTAGCACACACTCACGGGACATAGTGGGAAAGTGCTGTCTGCTAAGTTCCTGCTCGACAATGCACGGATTGTCTCAGGAAGTCACGACCGGACTCTCAAACTCTGGGATCTACGCAGCAAAGTCTGTGAGGAAATTCAGTCTTTCTGTCTATGTGTACACTTAGATGTTTACATGGAGCTGTTTCAGCTTGAGTGCTTGATTTAGTGTGATAGAGTTTGGATTTTGGATCTGCTTTCATGTTTAGAGGGGTTTAAGCTGAGGTAGTGATAGTTTTTCATGTTTGAGCTTCGTTTAAATGAGTAATTCTAACAACTCAGTGGTTAGAGTGTAGCAGGGTTATGTACACATCCACGTAGATACCTCAGCTTGATTAATGATGTTTGCTTTTCTTTCAGGCATAAAGACTGTGTTTGCAGGATCCAGTTGCAATGATATTGTCTGCACAGAGCAATGTGTAATGAGTGGACATTTTGACAAGAAAATTCGTTTCTGGGACATTCGGTATGACACTCAAGAGCTTGATGCGGGAGGCGTATGAGAGTGTCTGCAATAGTAGAATTGTGACAGTGTTCTGTATGTGGGTATGTGGGTTATACTTTTAAAAATCTCAGGAGATGGCACACTTCTATTGCTTTTTTTTTTTGAGCTGGAGTTTTACTCTGTCGTGCAGGCTAGAGTACAGTGGCACACTCACAGCCACCCCAGAGTCGACCTATTGGGTTCTGGTGATTCTTTCACCTCAGCCTTCCAAGTAGCCAAAACTACAGGTATGCTACCACGCCCAGCTAATTTTTTATTTACTGTAGAGACGATGTCTCACCAAGTTGCCGGTTTGGTCTCGAACCCGCAGGCTCAGGTAATTTACTCGCCTCATCCTTCCAAAGTGCTGGGATTATAGCCTGACCCACTTCTAGCTTATTTTTATTTTTTATTTATTTACTTATTTTTTAAGTTGGAATCTCACTCTGTCACCCAGGCTGGAGTGCCCTGGCGCACTCATGGCCGCGCCAGCGTCGACCGGCTGGACTCTGGTGATCCTTCCATCTCAGCCTTCCTAGTAGCCAGGACTACAGGCACGCGCTACCATGCCCGGCTACACTTCTAGCTTATTAACACATGGATATTCTTTACCATAAAGCAGACCTTGGGGTTCAGCAAAAGAATGCCTCTCCAGATTTGTCTGAAGAGATGAGTAGCCCTCACATGGTGAAAATCCATTCAGACATTCCAGGCCAGAACTGTGTGTATGACTGATACATGGCAGGTAGGTGGGAAGGGAGGCATAGGTCAATAAGACAAACAGGGCAGGTTGAGAACAGGTTGCCAAGGGCTTGATAACCCATTTCCAAATGTCAAGCCTGTAAGTCATAGGCGTTTAGTAAGGAAATGTTGCTCTGCAAGAGTCTAGTAGCTTACTCTGGTGGCTCTTTGAGAGAGTATATTGGGGAGGAGAGAAATCAATAGAGTTGATGAAGTCCTGAATTCAAGGCGGTTGAAGGAAGCGTAGAGGAGGGAATCAGTTTGAGGGCAAATTTGGACAGGGCTTGTTGATAAGTTGCAGTCGAAGGATGAGGAGGGCGAGAAGTAAAGCAGACAGAATAAACAAAGACAGATTTAGGAAGAGTGTCTAGAGAATGTTCAGATATGGACATGATTTTGTGGCTTCTAATGATGTTTGGGTAAACAGCAGAATTTTCAGGAGGTTGGAAGTAGAGGAAAATCAGGAGTCCACAGTGAACAGGAGGACTTTGAAGACAGAACGATTACTCAGAGTAGTCATATAAAGCAAGGACAGCACTCCACCTTAGGAGTGGCCAGAAAGGGAAAGGAAACCTGGAGTGTTGTGCTGATGGGCCATGGGTGGAAGTAGTAGAGCAGTCAGGTGGGAGAAATCCCTGGGCTGGTGGGAGGGGATGGAGTTGGTGATCTGATTGGATAGAGGGCAGCTGGGACAGAAGCCAGAGAGAGACCCAGTGGGGTTGTGGAGAGATGGCTAGTGAAGGGCCTGTGGTTATAGATGGTGCTTTGAAACCAGCATGGCACCAGAAAGCCCTGATTTGGGCGGTACTCATGGCTGTTGGACACTACTTTATTTTATTCATAACCCTTGGGTAGCTTCTAAAACCTCAAGTTGGAACTTGATTCATAAACTTTTAGAATTAAACTGGATGTTAGAAGTCTCCACCGGGCTCGGTGGCTCAGCCTGTAATCCCGTGCCTTTGGGAGGCTGAGGTGAGTGGATTGCCTGAGCCTGCGGGTTTGAGACCCGCCCGGGCAACTTGGCAAGACCTCATCTCTATAATAAATCAAAAATTAGCCGGGCGTGGTAGGGTGCGCCTGTAGCTCCAGCTACTTGGAAGGCTGAGGCGGAAGGATCACCGGAGCCCAGCAGGTCGAGGCTGCGGTGGCCACTCCAGTCTGGGAGACAGAGTGAGACTCCAACTCAAAAAACACATAAAAAAAAGAAAGGTAGGTTTTATCCATTTGCCGGGCTCGGTGGCTCAGCCTGTAATCCCAGCACTTTGGGAGGCCAAGGCGAGTGGATTGCCTGAGCCCGTGGGTTCGAGACCTGCCTGGGCAACTTGGCGAGACCTCGTCTCTATAATAAATCAAAAAAACTAACCGGGCGTGGTGGTGCACGCCTGTAGTTCCAGCTACCTGGAAGGCTGAGGCGGAAGGATCACCGGAGCCCAGCAGGTTGAGGCTGCGGTGGCCGGGAGCATGCCACTGCAATCCAGTCTGGGCGACAGAGTGAAACTCCAACTCAAAAAAAAGAAGTCTCCTAGTTCACCCCCTATTGATAGATGAAGACCGTGAGTTCCAAGAAGTAGAGTAGCTTGATTCAAGCTGTGTATTCAGCAGCAATAAGATAAACTCTTGCTCATTTAAGATGTAGAAATCTTTTCACTGAAAGCTTACAGCAGAATTGCTACAGAATGGGTCAGCACCTCCTTTGGCTGTGAATGTCACCAACAGGGCCCTGCCCAGGGTGGCCGTTAGCTGTCCTTGGCGTAGGCTGGGACACAGAAGAGAATTGGGAAAAAAGAGGGAGATGCAAAGGATAGTGACTGTCTTAGATCCTCTAATTCCACATAGCCACGCTGCAGTTGGAGAGTCACAGAGTGGTACTGAGTGGCAGAAAACCTTCATGTAAGGCAATCAAAACTCACTCAAGCAGGTTTCTGTGCCAACTTTGTCCAAAAGTTGAAATGATGTCATTGAAATAAGACTTACTGGATAGTGACTATAGTTAGTGCATGCAGATCAGAATTTCTGGTTGGCAGTTATTGTTACCCCAAAAATGGACAGGGAAATTCTTACCAGGTTCAGAGTTCTACTGAAAACATCATAGGACTATCGATGGAAAAATAAAGCAGTCACAGAGGTTATTATAAAACTGTGATTGCATTTACTGTCCTTGAAGAGTGTTGCATTCTAGCTGAATTGCAGTGCCTTTTTTTCCCCCCTCTGTGGCACAATATTCTGGCTTAAATGGAGAAGTCTGGCCTGTGTAAGTTTCTCAGATTTTTCATCTCTTTCTTAGATCAGAGAGTATAGTCCGAGAAATGGAGCTATTAGGAAAGATTACTGCCTTGGACTTAAACCCAGAACGGACTGAACTCCTGAGCTGCTCCCGTGATGACCTGCTAAAAGTTATTGATCTACGAACAAATGCTGTCAAGCAGACATTTAGGTAACTGAAGATGTACTGGTTTCTTGAGGGTTACATGAAGCCCGAAGGCTCAGCCTTGCTTTCTTACATGCTGTGTGGCCTGGGGTCTTTGGGTAACAGTGCTCTGTTGTTTGTTTCAGTGCACCTGGGTTCAAGTGTGGCTCTGACTGGACCAGAGTTGTCTTCAGGTTAGTAGTGATGGCCCCTCCCCTCCAACTTGGTTAATCTCAAAGGGTAGTACATGGGCATTTTTCCGTTGGTGATATAGAACTAAATATTTTCAGTATCTCAACCTGAGTACCCAGGAGTGAGCCTGTAAGTTCATTACTAGAGATTACCATTGTTGTCTCTTCTAGTGTGCCTCTTGTAATTGCATGAACCTAAATGTATTACATTAAAAAGTCACAGTTAGCTAGTTGCTTTGTTCTGGGTGAGCCCATTAGGTTGTCCTCTCTTCACCCATTTATACAAAAGCTGTTGGAGAGATTTTAGGAAAGGACAGGAAAGGCTTGTCCACCCTGGGGTGGAACTGAATAGGCTCTTGGAGAAGGGCATTCCAAGGTGGTCTAGTTTCCCACTCATCTCCTTTCTTCCACATATTATGCTGCTTCATATATGTTTCCAGGCTCAGTTCCAGGCTTTTCCACAATTGAAGCTTCCTCTTTCCCACTCTTACCGAACCATGTACCAAGGCAGTCCATAGGCTGAAACCCTTAGCTATTGGGAGGTTGGCTTTGATCTCTCTGTGTTGTGTTTGAGTCTGATGGATGGTTAGGGACTTGGAGCCCCAAGAAGTAATGTGGTGCCACTCTTCATTAGATAGATGAGGTGGAAATAACAGGGTAAAGGCAGAGTTGGCCGTAAGGGACATGAATCACACACATTCTGATATCTGAGTACACTCAGGAGTGGTCGTGAGTGAAGAATAAACAATCCTTGGGAAGAGGGCCATGTGGATGTTGAATTGGAGTTGAAGAGTTGACAGCCTTTCTTCTCTTACTGCTTTCTCTAGCCCTGATGGCAGTTATGTGGCAGCAGGCTCGGCTGAGGGCTCTCTCTATATTTGGAGTGTGCTCACAGGGAAAGTGGAGAAGGTTCTTTCAAAGCAGCACAGGTAAGATGAACCCTGTCAGCTCCCCTGAGGTTGTAAGCAGGGCCTGTGACTTTATCCTGGGGGTCATGTCCTCATCAGGCTGGGACTGCATTTGGCCCCATGAGGGCACTATCCACTCACTTGCTCGGCTGACTGAATGAACTAGGTTAGTGAAGAGAAGCTGGTGCCATTCATACAGCACAACAGACCACCGTCATTACAAAATACTCCGGGTAGAGCAGTTAGAATGGCGACTGTTGGAGAAAGTGTTACAGAAACACATCCCTGTCTCTTTTTATGTGCCACATTCTCTCTTCCTCCTTCTTTGTCTCTGCTCTCCTCCCTCTCCCTTGTAAGTCCCTTTTGTCAGTAAATGACTTGTCCTAACCATTGATTTTTTTTCAGATACCTTTCTTATCTTCCACCTGGCAGGCAGTCCCTGGGCCCCTTTTTTCCTAACTTTGTTCTGTCCACACAAGACTACTTGCTAGGAACTCAGACACTGGTTCCTCAGAACCTCCTCTCTTTGCCCCCGGGCAGCAGCAGCCACTCCCAGACTTAACCAGTGCTGATCAGTGCAGGTTCTCCTGGCTTTTCAGAGGCACTGAGGTCTATCTCACAGATACTCCCATAGGGTGAATGTGATAAGGCCTGACTGTTTAGGCCCCAAATGCCCTGCATCCTAACATGACTTAATAAAATACAGCACAGGTTTCTTCAGAGATCTTTTGCTTTGGAATGAGTCCCTGCCTGTGCATGGGCACAGTGCTGGAGAGTGGAGAGTAAAATAGAAGTTGGGAAAATCCTACTACCTGAATCCATGTGTGTCTGGTGTTTGGTTACTAAGAACTGAGCCAAGATGTTCTGAAATGTGATGCTCTTCTGATCTCTCCTTTGAAGTTCGTCCATCAATGCAGTGGCATGGTCCCCCGCCGGCTCTCACGTTGTCAGTGTGGACAAAGCATGTAAAGCTGTGCTGTGGGTGCAATACTGATGGGGCTCTCGGGGCTGGCAGAACCTCAGCACCTTCCTCAGAAGGACGTGGACTCCCGCAGCTCTTTCCTGTTGGTCAGTGTGTTGGGTATAGATTGACTTCTCAGAGAAGAGCTCAAGCCATGTGGCACAGTGGCCTTCCTCAAAGAGGATTTCTGAGGATTTGACTAAGGTCTCCAATGACCTTGAAGGATAACACTGAAAAAATGTGATGCTGCGGTCACTTAGCAGAGGTTCAAGTTCTTGCCTTGATTCGAGTGGGAAACACTACTAGCTCTGATCTTCCATACCTCATTGTGGGGAGCACAGGGCCCCCAGTGGGTCTTCTCACTGGATGCAGTGCCAAAAACACCCCACATTTGGGTGTTGGTCCTCTGTGCTTTTTCCCGTCCTTCCAAAGTCAGTTCCGGCCGAATGCATGTCTCGTCACCTTGAGATCATTTGCCCAGTGAACTTGCTTTAAGCATTGGATTAACAGAAACTCTTAGACACAGGGCCTGTCCTGATTCCAAGGAGACGCTGGGACTACAGTCCCCTCCCTTGTGGACTGTGGTGTTCCGGGGCTATTGTTCTGAATACGTCTTATTACTGCTGAAATTTCCTCAAATCTCGTCAACTTTTCTTCAAAGCTTACTGGCTTCTTTTTCCCCACCCCCAAAATTTGACATATTTATTTCTTGATCAAGAAATAAATCTCAATTTGGTTTTAAAAAATTATTTTTGAGGCAGGAGAGGAAGTGTGAAAACCTTTTCTAGAGAAGTGGGTTTGCTGCAGAGGTAAAGAATGTGTTCCTCTACTGATCTGCAGACACACAGAAGGTGGGTGTACACCATGTTCTTGCTAGTGATAAGGGATTTGAGGACTTGAATGTATTACTTCCGAACTGGTAATTCCGGCCACTGCCTATCTTCCAAGCCTGTGTACAGTGCCCTTGGTGCTTTAGTGCAAGCAGCCTGCTAGACCCAGAAGCACAGCATTGTCATCTTCTCATTTCAGGGGTTGTGATGAAGGCCAGGGAGAAACATTTATCTTTACCATTTTACCTGTGTATAAAATTTTAGTTATTTGGGTGTCTGAGACACCAATGTTTTTATCACTTTTTAATTTGCACTTTATTTTTATCTTCCACACTTGTTCTCTAGACGCTGGGGAACATGAGTGCTGGAACGGGTGAGAGGAACGAGTCGCTTTCCCACTGACAGGGGCTTGGTCTCCATGCTTCCTCTTTTTCCTGCCTGCATCTCCCCTTTTTGGTTTGCCCTCCAGAGAACTTGTGTTAAGGGGAGTTGAAATTCACAGGCCAGGGCACATCTTTTATTTATTTAATTATGTTGCCCAACAGAACTTGATTGTAAATAAATAAAGAAATCTGTTATATACTTTTCAAACTCCATGTTTCTTGGTGGTTATTTTACTCTTTGTTGTCCTTAACAAAGAAAACTTTTCCCCTGATTTGTTTTCCTGGTATTTATTCATTTGTAAATAATGAATGGTATCTTCCTATGGTCTTCCCTCATCATTCTTCATGTAAGCCCCATCCCATCCCACAAATTAACGTTCCCTGTAAACAGGATTAATCAGATTTTACATCATGTGCAAAACCTTAACTGAAACTAGAAAGGGGTTTCTTCAGAGCTTTGCCAGCTGCAGTAGAAGAGCCTGACACACAGATTCTCCTGCCATCTTCTGTACTGAGCCTTTCTCCATAGGATTTATATGAACTATATGTCCATTTGCCCACAAACTTCCTCTTTGCTAAAAAGACATGAGTTTCATCATTGGGGAGTTTCATCATTTATTTGTACCAGCTCAGACATCTAACAAGCAACCTGAGCCATAACAAATTGCCATCACTGTTGTGGGGGTCTTCAGCCAAACATCCACTTAGACCAGCAGCTGGAGTCAAGATGCTATCAAAGTCTGAAGTCAGGCAGCCAACACTTGGAAAAGGCCAAGTGAGCCCTTTGCAGTCACTATTAAGGAGGTGAGTCTCAAAATAGGCCCAAAATAAGAGTTTCAGAAGTCTCAGATATCCTGTTTTTGAATTTACAAGGAGCACAGCTGTTCTCTGTGCTTCTTTCAGTCTTGGTTCCATTCCACTCTTTAGTAACTGCCTCCCACATGTTCAGAGATGTTGTGCATCTTAGTCATAAATGTCTGCTACAAGATCTGCTTTAATCCAGACATTAACATTTCTCAGAATTTGAAGATTAAATGTTAATGGATATATATCTCATAGGTCATTTTCCAACACACTGTGACAAAGCAAGCGTAAGGCTTTATTTTTTGTAGACATGGGGTCTTTCTTCTGCTTTGCCTAGGCTGGTCTTGAATTTCTTTTTCTTTTTCTTTTTTTGAGTTGGAGTCTCACTCTGTCGCCCGCAGCTTCGCCTGCTGGGCTCTGACGATCCTTCCGCCTCAGCCTTCCAAGTAACCGGAATTACAGGCATGTGCTACCACGCCTGGCTGATTTTTTAATTTATCATAGAGATGAGGTCTCACTGCCCAGGAGGGTCTCGAACCCATGGGCTCAGGCAATCAAGAAAACATCAATGTGAAAGCTCTAGCTAGTCAGGCAATCCACTAACCTCAGCCTCCCAAAGGCGCGGGATTACAGGCTGAGCCACCGAGCCCAGCTGGTCTTGCATTTCTGTCCTCAAACAATCTTTATGCCTGAGCTTCCCAAAGCGCTGGGATTATAGGCATGAGCCATCGCACCTGGCCATTTTTGCTTTTATGAGGTGCCTTGGGTAGTAGTTACAAGGTTATCTCAGAGATCCTCCCAGTAGCAGGGATTACAGGCGTGCTACCACATCCAGCAAATTTTAAACTGCTTTTGTAGAGATGGCATCTCACTATTTTGCCCAGGCTGGTCTCAAACTCCTACCCTCAAGTAATCCTCCTGCCTCAGCAAAGTACTGGGATTACAGCCATGAGCTACTGTGCCTGGTCTTTTATTTTTTAATAACAATAGTAGGAATCTGTGCCAGGTGCCCACTGCTGGTTTGCTCTGATCCCGAACACAGGAAGTGAGAACAGGTGGATTTGGGTTTCATTTTTGCAGAGAACTAGGGTGATAAGAGGATAGGTAGCTATGCTTGAGAGCCAGGTAGTAAGAAGACAAGCTGTAAACTGGTTTCTAGCCTGTGCTTTGATAGGGAAACCACAAACATTTTTGTGTGAAGTGCCTTGGGTAGCAGTAAAGAGACTCTGGCCTCAGCACTGTCTGCCTTACCAGGCCCATAGAGGCATTTTACAAGGACCAAGCCTCTCAATGTTATCTTTCTACTGTGTCCTACTTTAATGAATTATGCTTGTACTAGAAGTTCCATTTTTCCTCTAACAAACTTTGGAAATCTTGAGTAAAGTGAAATACAAAGGGGAACCCCCAAAAATCCCAGTATTTATAAAAAATCGTGTGTTCATATTTAAACTTTAGTCACCTTCACCGTCAAAATATTCTCCATTTCATGCAATACACCCATCAAGATGCTCAAAACAGTTTTTGAACTCTTTGATGTTGATGCCATTTAGCGCTTCTGCCATTTTTTGTTTCACCTCTTCCACATTGGCAAAACGTTGCCCTTTGAGGACTTTTTTTCATCCAGGGAAGCAAAAAGTCACTTGGGCTGATATCAAGTGAATAGGGAGGGTGAGGCTTGGGGGTCATGCTGTTTTGTATCAAAGACTGCTGAATACTCAGTGTGGTGAGGGCAGGCGTACTTGTAAATCACCCGTAGTGGAATAGGCAAACATGTTGAAAGGACCTCCAAAAAAAAAAAAAATTGAAGGCAAACACAGCCTTTCAACAATGCTAGTTGGTACATTGATGCTGATGGGTTCCTAGAACATTTGTCTAGTGGGGAAAGCCTATACTACAAGGGGCCTGCCCTCCAAAAAGTAATTCTGGGTTTTTTTTTAATCCTCCCCTTGTATGTCTATCTGCATAGATTGTAGAAAAGTGCATAGAGTATGAGGTGCCTGCCAGTAAACGGACGAAGACCCCCCAAACTGATTCTTAGCTGCTTTACTTCAGCAAGATTTGATTCTCTGTCCTCAGGGAGTTCTTTCATAACACATCCCAACTGATTTCCACCTCTGCCTCAGAACACTTTCCATGTGTCAACCAGTCCTGTGCCCCTCAAACACTCTTAGTGAATCCCTCCCTTGGTCACGCTGCCCTTACAGTCTAACCCTCAATTGGCAAGAACAGTGAGGATGTCCCAATCAGGATGAACCCAGGGGATAAACAACACTGCAATGATCCCCAACACATGCACCAGTCAACAATTTTGTCAGTCTCGTTTATTTCCCTTGGTGCTTTCCCCCAGTTTTTTCCCAAGATTTTCCCCAAACTTCAAGCTTGTTTTACCATACATGAGTATGCATCCCAGTGCAAACTGGCAAAAACAACAGGCCATGATTAACCTACTGGAATTAGCAGTAACAGTATCACCCACCATCCAGTCCATATTCAAGTTTTCCTGATTGTTGTAACGATGTTTCTTATGATTGGTTTGGTTGAATCAGGGTCCAGCTAGCTTTTGCTGCATAAACTGCCTCAAAATTTCATGGTATAAAACAATCATCATTTTTCATGATTCTGTGAGTCAGCTGGGCTGGCCAAGTTGAGGATGAAGATAGATGGTAACCATGCTCATATGTCAGCTAGGGAGTCAGGGCTGACTGACACAGCAAGAAAACATCAATGTGAAAGCTCTAGCTAGTCATTCTGCTTGGGTTACCTTTTTTAGAGATGGGTCTCACTGTTGCCCAGGCTGGTATTGAACTCCTGGGCTCAAGCAATCCTTCTGTCTAAGCCTACCAAAATTACCTTAAAATGTCCCATTGAGGCCGGGCGCGGTGGCTCACGCCTATAATCCCAGCACTCTAGGAGGCTGAGGGGAGAGGATTACCTGAGCCCACGGGTTTGAGACCAGCCCAGGCAGCTTGACAAGACCTCACCTCTACAATAAGTCAAGAAAAATTAGCCAGGCACGGTGGCTCAGCCTGTAATCTCAGCACTTTGGGAGGCCAAGTGAGAGGATTGCCAGATCCTGGGGATTCGAGACAAACCTGGGCAACTTGATGAGACCTTGTCTCTACAATAAATAAAAAAACAAGCCAAGCATGGTAGCACATGCCTGTAATTCCAGCTACTTGGAAGACTGAGACAGAAGGATCACCTGAGCCCAGCATGTCAAGGCTGCAGTGGCCGTGAGCATGCCACTGCACTCCAGCCTGGGTGACAGAGTGAAACTCCAACTAAAAAAAAAAAAAAGTCTAACTGACTGGATAAAGTAAACTACATGGGCTGTCCCACCACAGTGTGGGGCGTTCCCCAGCTGCTAGGCACAGGGGGCAGCCATAGTGACAGTCTACTTTCTGTTCTCCCATCACCTAGTCTATTTATCCTAGAGCAATATCTCTTACTGACTTTTGTATACCTAACCCTGAATTGTACCCCACATCTTTATAATTAAAAAAAAAATATCCCTGGACCCAGTGCAGTGGCTCACACCTATAATCCCAGCACTTTGGGAGGCTGAGGTAAGGGAATTGCCTGAGCTCACAGGTTCAAGAAGAGCCTGGGCAATTTGGCGAGACCTCATCTCTACAATAAATCAAAAAATTAGCTGGGCGTGGTAGTGTTCACCTGTAGTTTTGGCTACTTGGAAGGCTGAGGCAGAAGGATCACCTGAGCCCAGCAGGTCGCGGGGAGCGGGGGGAGGTGGCATGAGCATGCCACTGCACTCCAGCTGGGGAGATAGAGTGAGACTCCAACTCAAAAAAAAAAAAAAATAAAGACCGGGCGTGGTGGCTCATGCCTATAATCCCAGCACTTTGGGAGGCCAAGGTGAGAAGATTGCCTAAGCCCATGGGTTCGAGACCAGTCTGGGCAACTTAGCGAGGCCTCATCTCTACAATAAATCAAAAAACTAACTGGGTGTGCTGGCACACACCTGTAGTTCCAGCTGCTTGGAAGGCTGAGGTGGAAGGATCGCCTGAACCCAGCAGGTCGACGGTGGGATGGCCGTGAGCATGGCACTGCACTCCTGCCTTGGGGACAAAAACACAAAATATAAGTCTCAGAGTACAGCAATAGTATTTATGCTGAAGGAAAGCATTATAAATTATAATATAGAGGAGTGCAATACCTTTGCCTATATCACAGATCTTACTTTACACAGGAGAATTTATACTGCCGTGAAACTCTCCAACACTTTCTCACACTTAACCCCAGAGATCTTGTATTGGCGAGAAACCCTACAGATTTAGTAAGTGCCAAAAAACATCTTACAAAACACCAGAGACCTAAAAGATACTTTATAGATGCGTCAAATGTGAATAAATATGTTATCATCTAAACATCAGAGGATTCACATTAGAAAT